CCATTCCTCCACATTTTAGAGAACGGCTTTACCAGAGCAGAACCATATGTCATCCGTTCACTTCACAGAACCAGAGCAGAGCAGAGCAGACGAGCAGCTTTTATGCGATTAACATTCCAAACGGAAATGTCTTCCCCACATTTATTTTACTAGGCCCGTAATGTGATGCGTCCCGTGATTTGATGCGTCCCGTGATGCGGGATGCTGCGGTCAGTGACAGCCGGAAGGCCCCCGTCTCTGTGATCTCTGCGCTTTATGTAGATTTACTCTAATTATAGATACGATCAGAGGGAGGTTCCTGCGCTCACCTACAGCAAGATCTGCAATAGAAATGGGAACAATGTGTCCCGTTCAGGGAGTATTCCAATTCAGAGTGCAAAGTACACAATGTGCCCACTTACAGGTAAAACACAAAGGGATTTCCAGTCAGTGGTCACGTGACGACTTCCAAAAATTGCTCCTCTCCATTCAGTCCTTTGGGGTTAATCTGTTTGCAGTGCCCACAGTGAGGCTCCGAGTGCTGTTTGTCGGTATCAGGTTCCATGAGAGGGATGTCGCTCGTCCATGGCCGGGGAGGAGAAAGCCAAGCATGCACATGCGGGATGCTGCGCTCAGTGACAGCCGGAGAGTCCTGCTGTGACATCCCACATGTGTGGATTTCTATGAGACACGCTACCTTGGTGGCAATGAGCGAGCGGGGGTCTCTCTTCCGGACCCCAATATTGCCAAACAGCACTCAAACCCTCACTGTGGGACTCTGCAAACAGATTAACCCCTCATGTTACTGAACGGAGAGGAGCGAATTTTGGAAAATACAAGTAATCACAATGGAGGTTTTTACCTGTAAGTGGACACATTGTGTACATTGTACTCAGAACTGGAACACTTCCTGAAGGGGATACATTGCTTCCATTTCTAGATCTATTTGGTGATGTCACTGCTGTGCTGCTCGCTGTTCTCCTTGCTGTAGGGGAAGCCGTACCTGAGGACCCGCAGTGCAAGGATCTCCCTGCTTCTCCTTCATTCATTCTGTGGATCTGTTCTTCCTCTGGAGTTTTTCTGTACTCACAAGTGGACACATTGTGTACATTGTACTCTGCACTGGAACACTTCCTGGAGTGGATACATCGTTTCCATTTCTATATCGATTTGGTGATGCACCTACTGTGCTCCTCACTATCCTCCTTGAGGGTCCGTTCACACCACATGCAGTGCGTTCCGGTCCGATTCTGGCCGGAACGCACTGCCTTGCATTGCGGCCGGCTCACTTTTTAGTGGGGCAGGAGGGGGTGTGGCAGGCCATTGAAGTGAATGGCACCGTAGCCACGCCCTCCGGCCGCAATGCGAATGCCCGCATGGGATCGCCAGGCACATTGTGCCTGCGGTCCAGTGCGGTGCGATCAAAATGCTGCAAGCACTAATTTGATCGCAACGGACCGCAGGCACAATGTGCCTGGCGATCCCATGCGGGCATTCGCATTGCGGCCGGAGGGCGTGGCTACGGTGCCATTCACCTCAATGGCCCGCCACGCCCCCTCCTGACCCACTAAAAAGTCAGCCGGCCGCAATGCGAGGCAGCGCGTTCTGGCCAGAATCGAACCGGAACGCACTGCAACTGGTGTGGACAGGCCCTTAAAAGGAGAACTATGGGGTCAGGACTTTTCCCCATAGTTCTCCTTAGGGTAACGGGAGGACACAAACTAGCGTCCTCCCGTCACCCTAAGCTCAGTATACCGCGAGCTACAGCTCACTATATACTGAGATGCCGCAGCCGGAGCGGATCCCGACATCGATGTCGAGATCAGCCCAGCTGCGTGAGTGACAGCTGGCTCCTCCTATCTAGAGGCAGAGCCAGCTGTACCCGCCCCTCCCCCATCCGTTCCGCCAGTCAGCGCTGGCGGATCGGAGGGGGGAATCCAGCCCCTCCCCTGTCACGGCAGAGAGCTGTGACAAGATCGAGAAGTGAGCGAACGCCGGTATGTGTTCGCTCACCTCCCGATCTACTGAGCCGACCTGTGACAGTCTCATTGTCACAGGTCGGCTAGAACTATGAGGTGAGTGAAAAGCCCCTCCCCCTCATAGTTCTCCTTTAATCTGTGCTTCCTCTGGAGTTTTTTTTCTACCCACAAGTGGACACATTGTGTACATTGTACTGAGAAATGTTATTCCTAAACAGGACACATTGTTTCCATTTCTTTTTGTATCTGCAAAGATTTTCACATCTTGCTTCAGGTGAGAGCAGGAACCTCGCTCTGATCTTTCCTTCTATCTGCATTTTTTTGATATAAAAGGATTATCACGTTACAGAGGTTGCAGCAGCCATCATTCTGTATATTTCTAGACTCGCTCGAAGCTTCGCTTTGCCTGCTAATAAAAAGGTTTTGCATGGTTTCCATCTCTTTAATGATTCACTGTAAGCAAAGAACACAGAGAGACGCTCCCGCCGTGTTATTATGAACATGCATCACTTTATAGAAGGGGTTTGAGCCGCTTCTATTGACTTCGGAGAGATAGAACCTAAATGATGCCGCAGTCAGCTGGTCACATGATAATGAACACATGAAATATTATTATTCCGTCTCTGTCTCTGAAAATGTTTTCTGTCATTGGAAGGTATACGATGAGGTCAGGAGGAGGAGTACAGACAATGCGAATGTCACACACAATGATGGGATCGCACAGTCTAGGACAATGACGTTAGTAGTTGGTTTGGATATAAATGTAAATTATTTTTTTGTTTGAACAGACTCTGTATCATTCATCTCCATGAACAGTAAACGGCTGACATGGGCACTGCTGGTGTCATTGCACTTCCTGTGCCTAGGCACTGTAGTAAAGACCTCTCACTGCCACTCTCTCTCCTTGTGCAGGGTGACTGGTCTCGTCTCCGCCCCCTCCAGTAATAAAGACCAGTTACTGCTGCTCCTTCTTGTGCAGGGCCACTGGTCTTGTCTCCGCCCCCTCCTGTAATAAAGACCGCTCACTACTACTCTCTCTCCTAGTGCAGGGTGACTGGTCTTGTCTCCGCCCCCTCCTGTAATAAAGACCGCTCACTGCTGCTCTCTCTCCTAGTGCAGGGTGACTGGTCTTGTCTCCGCCCCCTCCTGTAATAAAGACCGCTCACTGCTGCTCTCTCTCCTAGTGCAGGGTGACTGGTCTTGTCTCTGCCCCCTCCTGTAATAAAGACCGCTCACTGCTGCTCTCTCTCCTTGTCCAGGGTGACTCGTCTGGTCTCCGCCCCCTCCTGTAGTTTTCTGTAGTGGGTGAAGCCTGATGGGACCCTCCCACAGCTCTGATTTCTGGACAGGATATGTACACAGCACAGTGATGATGTCACATCACAAGGAATATCTGGGTTTGCAAAAGGCATTTGGTGCGCACAAAGTGGATGTATAATCTTTGTGGCTGTTGAGGAATATAATTGAAAGTTTTTGTGGCTGAGGTTCAGGTTTTTGGTTCAAAAATTTGTAGTTCACAGTAAACCAAAAGAACAAAAGATGGAACTTACTCTGTTCACGTTGGGTGAACTTAAACTCCTCCGATGCAGCTTTCCTTTCCCTGATAACTGCTCCTTCACTGCCACCTCCTGGAAGGGTAAAAAGTCATTTGTGATTGAAGGATAAAATAAATCTCGGCGGAATATTAAAAAAGCAATAAAACCAAAACCAGCAATTTGTACCCCGAGCATGTGACAGCTCCCGCCTGAGAAGCATCAGCAGGCACGGGGAAAGCTTTAGCAGGAATCTACTGCATCTAGTATCAGCAAAACGGCCCAAATGTGTTGAAGCTGCAGCCCATCCCCAAAATATCAGCCCCCAACACTCCTAGACAGGGACCTAAGGGAGCATTAAAAGGAGAAGTATGAGGAGAGTGCTTTTCACTCACCTCATAGTTCTAGCCGACCTGTGACAATGAGACTGTCACAGGTCGGCTCAGTAGATCGGGAGGTGAGCGAACACATACCGGCGTTCGCTCACCTCTCGATCCTGTCACTGCTCTCTGCCGTGACAGGGGGAGGGGCTGGATTCCCCCCTCCCCGCTCCGATCCTCCAGCGCTGACTGGCAGAACGGACGGGGGAGGGGGGCGGGTACAGCTGGCTCTGCCTCTAGATAGGCTGAGGCAGCTGTCACTCACGCAGCTGGGCGGATCCCGGCACAATTGTCGGGATCCGTTTCAGCTGCAGCGTCTCAGTATACCGGGAGCTGTAGCTCCCTATATACTGAGCTTAGGGTGACGGGAGGACGCTAGTTTGTGTCCTCCCGTTACCCTAAGGAGAACTATGGGGAAAAGCCTTAACCCCATAGTTCTCCTTTAAAGTGTACCTAAAGCTTTTATAACCACTTCCTGTCTGGAGAAATTTCTTACATTTGCACACATGATAAAATCAGAATTTTTGGCAAGAAAACAGCTTCGGACCCCCAAACAATGATATATGTTCTGAAAGCCAAGGCCCCGGAGAATAAAAAGATGCTAGTTCCAATTTGTTATGTCGCACAGTATTTGCGCAAATGTTTATCAAACCAGTATTTTTAGGATTAAATACATTTAATGTAAATTCAGTGCACAGAAACAGAATATAACACCCAATTTTTTGGTAAAATATAAAAGTCGGGGTCACGTCGGGTAAATAGACACCAAACATGTCAAGCCTAAAAATTGTGTGCGCCCGTGAAACCACCAAAAACTACAATTCCCCAAAGGCGACGCATTAAACGCTTTTACGGCTCATCAGTTTAGCGCTAACAGTGATTGATGGGCCTAAAATTATTGGTCTCACTCCAACGCTCGTGGTGAAATGTAACATGTGCGGCGCAATTTTCATTTTTGCACATAGGCGCATCCGACATGTGATTGTGTGCACATAGGGAGACTTTGACTTATCCGATACTTAAACTTTTACAATTTTGTTTTTTTACACTCAACTTTATTGCTATCACATAGGGGGCTAACAAGCAAACAAATATAATATGACAGGTCCTCTTTATGGAGACATTTTCAGACCCCTAATGTCACCTAGGGAGCCCAAAGAAGCTGATGAAGCCGAGATCTGCTTCCCCAGCTTCTTCTCCTGGCTCTAAGAGCCGGAGACTGTAAATAGTGACACCGGAAGTGATGTAATACACATCACTTCCGGGTCCAGTGATCGGAGGAGATCAGCGGCTGGAAGCTTACTGACCCCCCTCCGATCCTTCAGGGGAGACCCTCCACACCGATCCAGGGCTCGCACAGGGAACAGCGGAGCCCGGGAAGCCGACGGCGGCACTGGATGGGGTCACAGTGCCGGATCTCTTGTATTTAAATAGCAACCCCCGGCTGTTTAAACCGGTACCAAGAACACGGCTGCAGCAGAAGACAAGTTCTTGGTATAGCCACTTGCAGCGGATGGCGTGTATTTATGTGAACCCGCTGGAAGTGGTTAACTATTGGATGGAGTGTAGAAGGGGGAGACCTTCCGTCACAATTTGGAGGGATCATTTGGATGGAGATCCACATCAGGTATAGAAGGGATGAGGGTCAAGTGCCCGCACACTTTTGGCCCATAAAGCGTATCACGATTAGATTTTGGCAGATTGAAGGGCTCTCTAGTAATCTTTGATGAAGCAGGACAGAGAGGCAACTCATGGCCAACTCAGTGACTGCAAAGTGCCCAGGTCCTGTGGCTGCAAAGGAGGCCCAAATCATGACCCACTCAACCTCATAGTTTGAGCCGACGTGTGGCAATGAAACTGTCACACGTCGGCTCAATAGATGGGGGAGTGAGCGAACACATACCGGCGCTCGCTCACTTCTCGATCATGTCTCTGCAGAGAGATATGACTATCACTCAGGGCTCTCTGCTGGGATTCCCCCCCTCCCCGCTCTGATCTGCCAGCGCTGACTGGAGGAACGAACGGGGGAGGGGCGGGTACAGCTGGCTCTTCCTCTAGATAGGCAGAGCCAGCTGTCAATCACGCAGCTGGGTGGATCCAGACAGTAATGTCGGAATCCATCCTGGCTGCGGTGGTCTCAGTATACCGCAAGCTGTAGCCCGCTATATATACTGAGCTTTGGGGGACGGGAGGACGCTAGTATATGTCCTCCCGTGACCCTGAGGAGAACTATGGGGAAAAACACTGACCCTATAGTTCTCCTTTAATGCAACCAATCGATTAGTTGAAAAAATAATCGGGCAGCTAATCGATTTTGAAAATAATCGTTAGCTGCAGCCCTATATAGCTTTATATGTGTCCATAAAATATAAATCAAAGCAACTAGACTTGCTTGAAGACCTTTCGCTGACCATCCAACTAGCTTTCTCAATTGGAAAATTCTGAATTGAGAAAGCTGGTCGGATGACCAGCGAAACGTCTTCAAGAAAAATACAGCAAGTCCAGTTGCTTTGATTTATTTTTACAGATATACTGTGACCCGGGTGAACGAGAACCTCCACAGACGGGCTTATTTATGGTTTTAGCTCATAGTTCTACTTATTATTACATAGTATTTATATGGCGCCAATAGTTTGCACAGCGCTTTACAGTATAAGGAAGACATTACAATCACAATACAATTCAAGACAAGATGGTGAGGAGGGCCCCGCCCCCGAGGGCTTACAATCTAAAAGAGGAGGGGGAAATCATACATGAGGAGGGAGCTGTGTGGGCATGAATTGTTTGAGAATGTGATGGTTCACTGGTTATGTTGAGGTTCTCCTTTAAGGCTGATGCTAATCATGTGCGTTTAACCTTTAGGAAAGGACATTCTGCATCACTAAACAGCTTATTGCGAGTCCCTCTGCGGAGTTCCTCCGTTTTTCGGAGTCCAGTCAGAATCCCCATGTGAGTCACAGAGCGGGCCCCCGTATCTGTAATTAGCCGAGAATCAGGCCACATGTTAATGGCTGCTCAGTCGTCAGGCAGGCCGGAGATGAGACAAGTATCATTGTGATCTCGGCAGGACGCCAGCTCTGACTCAAGCCTGGATGTAAAACGCTGCTTCCTGACGCAGGTTAAAAGGAGGAAATGCCCTTTATGTGGATATAAAAAGTAATTAATACATTTTCACAGCAGGTGAGAGAGAGAGGCTAAGATCCCGAGCGCCGGCTGCAACGCAACATTATAAAAAGGTCTAAATTTCCAGCCAGAATCCAATAAAAAGAGCCGATGAGAGTTCATTTCCATGCGCTTTGTTTAAGACGCATTTTAATGACATTTATACCTGAAAATATACAGATGGGTTAAAGGTCAACCCAACCGAAAACGCACATCGCAGTTTTACATTGCTGGCTGAATCTCATGCTGGCCAATAAAACCTAAAGAAGACTCCAATGTGGGAGTGTAACTAGAAATCACAGGGCCCTCATAGCAAAATGTTGTATGGGGCCCTGTGATTTCTAGTTACACCCACCTGATATCCCAAACAATTCACCTGAGGGAGACCCTGCGGAGGCCACCATAGACTCTCTATGGTGGGCTCTGCAGGGTCTCAGGTGGGCTGGTCAAACCCTCTTACTGGTCAGCCCTCATCAGCTGTCCGCCTCCTTTTCCTCCACGGTCACTGGCAGGCCCCGCCTCCTGAATCACCGGACCTCCTCCTTCACTGCTGACGCCTGGCCCAGCCTCCTCCTCCGCAGCTGCTGGCTGTCAGGAGGAACGTGGCGCTGCACACATCTCTGACAGTTTGTCAGTGATCTGGACAGCGGAGCGTTCCTCCTCACTCCCGCCAGTGACAGCCAGCAACCTTCAATACCATAGCGACCCAGGTGGCCCGCACGGCATCAGGGGGTCGTCCTGGCCAGGCCCCCCTGTGCCCCATAGCGGCCGCATGGGTCGCTATGGCGATTGTTCCGCCACTGCTCCAATGATTCAATACCCCCCCTCCCCATATCATAGGTATGAAGTGAGATGATGGTGGAGAAAAGCTGTCAGAGAACCCATCCTTACTGTGGCCATGTTGTAGGGGCATAGACACAAACCATCGGTGGGAACCTTGGAGCCTCCGAACTAGAACAAGCCAGGGGATGATTCAAACCAAATAAAAGAGAATTTTATCTGCTAAGCCAAGAGAGACTTCACCTAAAAGTAGATAGACCTCTGCATGTAGGTGGTGTCTTTCTTGACTTAACAGATAAAATGTACTTTTATTGGATCTGCAGGTGGCCCAGCCGGCATCACCTGCTGCGACAAAAGTCAATTTTTCAATGATTGTAGCAGTGCAGATTCAGATATAAAAATGTTTTTACTGAAGACTAGGGCTGCAGCTAACAATTATTTTTATAATCGATTAGTTGCCCGATTATTTTTTTCAAATAATCGATCGGTTGTAGTAAAATCTCCCTCTCCTTCCTCAAACTAACCAATAATGAGAATAGTTGCCAACTATTCAATTAATCGATTATCAATTTCATCGATTAGTTTTTGCAGCCCTAATGAAGACCCCCCCCCATAATAGCAACTTGCCCAATATAAAAGAGTAAACACACCAAAATATCTAATATTACGACCTTCAGGACTTTATTTTGTTCATATCTACATGGAAATCAAGGTTTATAAAACTTCACAGATGAGCTCACCATCCAGTTATGTAACTTACAAAACGGTTACCAG